TCCTGAGTAGCTGGGATTACAGGCACGCGCCACCATGCCCAGCTAATGTTTTGTATTTTTAGTAGAGACGGGGTTTCACCATGTTGACCAGGATAGTCTCGATCTATTGACCTTGTGATCCACCCGCCTCGGCCTCCCAAAGTGCTGGGATTGCAGGCTTGACCGACCGCGCCCGGCAGTCCTTAAATGTTTATATGATTAAAATAGACGAGGGTCTGGACTGGGGTAGGGACGTGAGGCTGGGAGATGACTCAGGGACTATGAAGATCAAAGGAAGAAACAAAGGTCCTGGGTGGTCCCACAGTCACAAGTCTCCAGAGACCAGCCAAACTCCTTCCCTAATAATGCCAGCTGCTCTTCGGCTTCAGCTTATTGTTTCCATGTGGGCAGATGGGTTTTCTTTTTCCTCAGATATTTCCTATTTTTCAAGAGGAGCTGGAAGTTGAAATGTATGTGAACTCTTACAATATTTTAATGTTGACAACTAATTCAGAAAATGTTTGAAACATTCTTTGGGTGAAACGATGGGTGGGGGGCTGCCAGTTTGAGAACTCTTACCTAAGACGTGTAGAGATTGAGTAAGGAGATTCAGCGTGAGTGGGAGGTGGTGGAGGAGAGAAACCAGTGGTCAGGAAGGAGGATTTTAGAATGCGGAGATTTTTAACAAGGTGGCACAGCTTGATTTCATTCCTGAGCTCTAGTTTTCATTTGTTCTGCTACATGCTGGGTATATTCAGAGGAATATCCTATGGTATTTCCTCAGAGACACTTCTAAAAGTGATTTCCTCATTTCTTCCAAATCTGCTCCTCGTCAGGTGTCACCTATTACTCATGCCAGTACTTTTCCCTTCCTAGGTACGCTGGCTCAAAACAGAGCTATTTAAAATTTTTCCTACTCTCCTACTCTGTATGCAATATATTTTGTTGGGTCCTTTTGATTTTTTTTCTGTAATAACTCATTCATTCTGTTCTCTTCTTGCAATTTTTTGCCTTCTTCCTTAGTTTAGGTTTTCTTACTATGCCCCCAATACTTCCACAGTGCCTCCACCTTCACTCACTTCAGTCTATTCCTCATGCTACTATAGGAGCCACTTTTCTAAATAGGGGATTTATTACAAATGCCAATACTTCATTGAACTCTTATGCCAGCCCTGTTGGTAGAACACTTTGCATCAATTATCTCACTGAGTTCATACATTAACTGTATGAACAGGGCACCGTTAATCACTCTTTTTTTTTTTTTTTTTTTAAGGGTCATGCCCTATCACTAGGCTGGAGTGCAGTGGCAAAATTATGGGTCACTGCAGCCTTGACCTCCTGGCTCAGTTGATCCACCTCAGCTGGTACTACAGGTGCATGGCATCATACCCGTCTAAGTTTTTACATTTTTGTAGACATGGGGTCTTACTGTGTTGCCTCGACTGTTTCGGATGCCATATGTTGTGTTCTGACAACTGCTGAAGATATAAAACAATAAAAAACCAAAACTGGGTTCAAGTACAATGTATAGATCAAACTGAAAAGGAGAGATAGTATGTCCAGTAGTATGCTGTGGTACTACTTTGGTGTTGAGCCCAGGCACTTGCCAGGCATCCTTAAGCCCTGGGGTAACAGGAAGCGCTCTAGGTTCATAGATTTGGATCTAGGTGCTACTTTGCTGTATCTTATTGAATATAGTCATACCTGAGTATTCATAACCTAAAGTATGTATTTTCTTTTGACTGACTTTTACTTTGCCTATATTGCAAGAAGGGCCTTATATTTTCCTCCCAAAATATGTGCATAGGTTGGTTATAGATTGGTGTGTAGAGTTTCCTTGTAGTGTGGTACTGTGGATATCAAAATATTTCTTATAAAAAGGATATTAAATCTGTTAGGGTTGATAACCACTGATTTCAAATAAAAGGGTCAGTTGAAACTAGTATTAACAACAGAATATGAATCCCCGTTGAAATAGTTCAATGGAATGTCTCTGTTAAAAATTATCCTGTGGAGCCTGGCCAAGATGGTGAAACTCTGTCTCTACTAAAAATTCCAAAATTAGGTGGGTGTGGTATTGCACGCCTGTAGTCCCAGCTACTTGGGAGGCTGTGGCAGGAGGATCACTTGAACCCATGAGGCAGAGGTTGCAGTGAGCCAAGCTTGTGCCACTGCACTCCAGCCTAGGTGAGAGAGCGAGACCCTGTCTCAAAAAANAAAAAAAAAAAAAAAAAAAAAAATTATCCTGTGGGCTGGCTGTGGTGGCTCACACCTGTAATCCCAGCACTTTAGGAAGCCCCCAAGATGGGTGGATCCCTTGAGCCCAGAAGTTCAAGACCAGCCTGGGCAAAACAGTAAAACCCTGTCTCTGCAAAAAAATACAAAAATTAGTCAGTCATGGTGGTATGCACCCCAGCCCACTGGGGAAGCTGAGATGAGAGGATTGCTTGAGCCCAGGAGGTTGAGACTGCGTTGAGCTGAGTCACACTACTGAACTCTAGCTTGGGCAACATGGCAAGACCCTGTCTCTATTAAAAGAAATTAAAAAAATTCCCTGTGGACTAGCAAAATTTAATTTGGAACATATTAAGTTGATACGGAAGCTGTCCTTCCTAAGCACTTTAATTACATTCTTATTAATGACAACGACTCCATTGAGGTAGTTGATACCAGCCTTATTTCTCAGATATTAAAGTGTGGCTTGAAATTGTTTAAGGGATTTGCTCAGGACTACACAGTTACCAAAACACAGGCTGTCTACTCTGAAATTCAAAGCCCAGGTTCTTTTAGTAAACCACATGCCAATATGGGCTTTGAGAAGACAGCTTTCTGGGCCATGGCATGGAAATGAGATACACTTAGTTTCTGCTTTGTCAAGGGATCCAGTATTTAAGAATATTTTGGGCTGTTCTCCCTCACTCATTGTCTATCTTTTTAAGGACTGCATGGTCTTTACTTGATTATCACATTTCGTTTTTCAAGGTTGGTAAAACTGTCTGGACCTAAGTATTATTTTTTTTCAGTTTTGCAACAGTTAATGATTTTGTCAAGCATCCCAGGTGGTGATTACTTATGTGTTTATTGGTTTGTTCTGATTTTATTGTGAAAGCCCGACTATGTGAAACATCCTAGAATCTTGGTAGAAAAATTTTTCTCAAGAAAGGAAACACTTTTAGGAAATGCTAAGTGCTAGGTTTCTCAGTGTTTCTAGCATTCCCAAAGAATAGTGAGTGTTTCATGTAGTTTTTTTGTGTTTCTTTTCTGAAATAAAATAGACTTGACATATATCGTTTCATAAATAATGTTACTTTTTAATCAAACACACTGTAGATTGTAACACACTTGTAATATGGTACTGTGGATCTCAAAATAAAAAGTAGCCATTTTAGAAATATGTAAAGCTTTTTAGGTGTCATCTTTTGTGTACTCTAGAGGAAAATCTTGTTTTGCTCTGTTAAATGCTTAGGTATTAGAATTCTTAAACTCTTTGAGTACTTCTCTGGCACTCCAAGAATAGTGGTAGCTATAAGCTACATGTTGATTATTCTAGATTTAAAAGGATTACTATGTCCTTATGTCTGGCTAATTTTCTCTTTTTTTCTGAATTCAGTATTGCCAAAGATGGCAGACCCAGATGTCCTCACTGAAGTTCCAGCAGCACTGAAGAGGTTAGCCAAGTACGTGATCCGGGGATTTTATGGCATTGAGCATGCCTTGGCCTTGGACATCTTGATCAGGAACCCCTGTGTGAAAGAGGAGGATATGCTGGAGCTGCTGAAGTTTGATCGGAAGCAACTTCGATCAGTTTTGAATAATTTAAAGGGAGACAAGTTTATCAAATGCAGAATGAGGGTAGAGACTGCTGCAGATGGGAAAACCACTCGCCATAACTACTACTTTATCAATTATCGTACTCTTGTTAATGTGGTAAAATATAAATTGGACCACATGAGAAGGAGGATTGAGACCGATGAGAGAGATTCTACCAACCGGGCTTCCTTCAAATGTCCTGTCTGTAGTAGTACTTTCACAGACTTAGAAGCTAATCAGCTCTTTGATCCTATGACAGGTGAGGTTTGTCCAGTTTGTGAATCTTTAAGTAAAATAAAATGTGTACTACCCTTTTTCTTAAATTGACTCATCTAATTTTTAAACTATCATATGTATTATAAAAGTGAATGGATCAGTGTAAGTCACATCATATAGTCTTACTGTCCTGTTTGGCTGTCATACTACTTTGAGAAGCCTTTGCAAAGCCTTTCTCCCTCACAAGGGAGTGTACTCATCCATGGGGTTTTCTCACTCGTGGCTCTCCTGCCTCTGCCCACCTCCCCTTATTCACAACTGCAGCCTAATCTGAAGGGTTGATTTCTCTACCACTTTGAGGCTATTCTAATTTTATTTGTGACCTCTAGACAGTTGCAATTCAGTGTATTTAAATTCTTTGTTAGTGGAAAAAGAAAGTGTTATCAGGAGTATGTAGCTAGGTTGTCTAATTTGGATTTGGGGAAGGCCTGTGAAAGAAGTTAACAGCCAAGACTTAAGTAAGTTAGCCTGATGTAATAAGAGGGAATTCTTTCCAAGTTAAGACATTTAGTGTCCTTTAGCTACACATTATTATTGGAAGAAAATTGTCAACAAGATATGTAATTGGCCTGATTTGGTTGAATAGTTTTAAGGATTTTTCTTAACACAATTTAGAAAACATGCATTTTCTGAAAATACAATATGTCTAGCATAAATTCAAACTAAAGTTTTGAGTTACATAGTTATTTTATCTTGTTATTTGTGTTTACACAATAAAAGATTAGTTTTGCTAAATACCCAATGGATCAATTTTATCTTATTTTCTATAGGTAAAAATCTATAGAAGGACTCAATGCTATTAAATTAGATTAAGTCCCTTTGTTATGGTTGAATTCAGGAGTATAGGCTACTTTTTAGTTCATAAATCTGCCTTTTTAAAAACTTCATCTGAAAGTTTAAACTTTCACCCATGAAACATTTTGTTGTACAAAATTACAGATTTCTATGTATGTTTTATTTTCTAATTTTTATGTTATATACAGTACATTTTAAATAATTTAAATTTTTTTAAGATTATTGACAAAAGAGAGACAATCTATATGACCTTTTTTTTCTTATTTTACTGTGAGGCAATGATTTTGGATGAAAACTAAAGAATTCGCAATTATATTAAACATTTAATTTGTCTGAGCCTAGCCTTTTACCTTGAAAGGGCTCCACAAGGAGAGATCTTGATTATAAGAAAATCTTAACCATCCTGGGTATAAGAATTGCTTGAGTGTGCTATAGAGGAAGGTTGTAGAATATATCTGGAGCTCTTCAAAGTAGACTAGAAAAGTCTCATGATTCTTGCCATTTACTCTAACAGAATTCTTAAGGGAGCTCTGGGTTTGATTTTGTAATTCTCTACAGATGTTGGTTTTAACAGTGGTCCTGTCTTCATCACTCTTGACCACAGTGGATGGTGTTATCCAGTCCCTCAGAGTAATCTAAAATAATGTGCTTCTACTACATTTATTTGTCATTTGAGTCATATTTAATTTAATGAAACTTTCTAAAAGGAGATGATTCCACTACTGTATCAGTATTTAGGAGATTGATCATACTCATTGAATTTTATCTACAGTCTGAATGAAACCAGTTCACTCAATAGATGGCCTGTGGAAGAGATAGCCTAACATTCCAGTATAGTCAAGGTGACTTGAATCAAGGAGTTAGGGTAGAGGGCATGAAAATATTTTATGAAATAAAGCTAAAGCTGAAACAGTTGTATTGTAGCCAGTCTGAACAAAGACTGTATTTTTTAATGTGAGGGCTATGGTCAGCATGAAGATGAAAAGAAGGGGTGCCTAAGAGTAAGAATAAGTCACTTAATCTTGATATCACTTAGGGGAGTGATATCAAGCCAGCTGATAAGCCAACACTAATGCTTGATTTAATTGGTAGTTATGTCTTACAGTGATGCCTGAGGTATCAAGATTAAAAATTTGTAATCATATGGACCCTCATTCTGAGAACATACTTGCCTTTTTATTGTAATTTGGCTTTTTATTGAGATGTTCCTTTAGAGAGAAAATGTGCTGATTAGGTGATACTAGGCCCCAGTTGCTTGCCAGTTCTGATGTTTTGGGTTTTGCCTTTTTTTTTTTTTTAAGCTATTAATACCCAAGACCTTTCTTTGGTCTCTGCATTCCTTTTAGAAATCTTTGTGTTTTACTCTATTATTATTTTCTGTTTTGCTCTGTTATTCATCTCTCTCCTCCCCTCCATTCCCACCCCATTATGAAAAAGATGAGCAATAAAAATTTGGCGTGTGCAGTAACGGAGGAGGGAAATTTTCCTGCTGTGATATTAATGCTTTGTCTAAATTGGTAGATTGCAGTTTTCTTTCTAAGCCCAGTCCTGTACAAACCTGTCCAGTTTCCTGGTTGCTAGAAGAGATTGATAATATTTCTGATCAAGTGATGGAAGTATTTAATGACCTTCTACCTGCATTTCTTTTCAGTAGTTCTTAGATTGAATTGTGGTGTACATGAGAAATTAGGGGATATTCAGGATTGAAGGATTTGAATATTGGATTTGAAGCCTGCTAGACTTTACTGTTTCTCTGACAAACAGTGCTTAACTCAAGTGTATGGGCAGCTTTCTGCCACAGGACAAAGGGTAGTAATTCCTAGATGAGCTGCTGAGGACCACCTGCAAGTTCCGGACCCAGGAAACAGCCCAGCAAGGATTGTTAACCATTGTTAATTCACACATTAAGCCATCGATCTTCCTACTTCAGTTTATCACTTTTCCATACTCCATCTCTACTTTTCCTAAAGATTGTAAATTTTCTCCATACTTTCCATGTAAATTTGCTTTTGGTGTTTCTGGGTTGAACTCTCTTCAGATGTATAGATACATTGTTTATTAAAATGGAATAACCTAGCCTTTGCACACTAGTCCCTGAGAAGCTTAATCATTAAGGTAAAACCAGCTGTTTTAAATTTCTGAATTATTGGGGAGTTTATGTAGTCAAAACATGACATGAACTCCCCCAATGAATCAGCAAAATAACATCTTGTGTTTCATAAATGCGTGTTTTAGATTTAGCAGGCTTTCTGACCATTTAAATAGACTTAAGTATTTTTATTTTAGTAGTCTCAACCATGGGTGATTTAGTTAATGGCACTTCTAAGTTAAGTTTGGCACCATGCTTCTCCTGATGAGGAGAGGGGGATCTTACCTTGTTTTAGATGTTAAGGTTAGATGATTTGGAAATAGCTTTATATTTTTCATTTTTAGCTTAAAAATTATGCAACCATAATGCCAGAGACAAATTTGAAGACAAAAAAAAAATCACCCACAAAGCCACCAGCCTTTTACATATTACCTATAGTTAAAATCATAGCCTAGAATAGTTTGTGATCTTTGGTTCTTTAATGCACCAAACCCTCCTGTTTCTATCTAGTGTTCAAAATATGTTTTAATAGGTGTAATTTTTCCCCATTTTCCTTCCCCCCACTCTTGGGCACTTTGGTGGTATCTATTTTTTGCTGGTATAGATAAGATGCTTTGAATACCTTTGTTTATATAGCGTGTTATTCATCTTCACATTTTTCCTTATGAATTCTTGGCAGTAGGAATATTGGGCAAAAGAATATAGTTTTATAGCTTCTCTAAAAAATATGGCATTATAGTTTTACTGTGGGTAGGTGAAGTAGAATTGTTAGATGTTTGAATTGGAAATAATTTGAGAGCCCCTTTTACTGAATTTACCTAGAGACCTAGGAGTAACATTTTAAATTTTGAGATAATTTAAATTTTTTTAAAAAGGAATCTTATAAATGTATATTTAATAAAATCTTAGAAATTTAGCGATTATCTAGTTTAGCTCATCAAATAATGTGTGTGTGGGTGCATATGTACATGCCTATGTTGCACTCTTAGATTTGGAGGATCTTATAGTGTAATAATGAATAAATCTAGGGGTATATACATTGATACACTGTTTTAGATTTACTATTAAGGGAGAATATGACATCTCCCACAGAGATTCACCTTGTTTTGTTTGGCTCCATGGAAAGAGACTTAGCAACAGATTTTAGGATTAGTATAAAGAAGTCTTTGATAATTAAGTAAGTCTCTAATAAATAACTCTTAAAAACAGCCAACAATTGACTAGCTCTCCTTTAGTGATGAGTTCTGAGTCATTTGGAATATTCAAGTAAACTTGGTATCTACTTGAGATAGTCATATGTAAGTTTGGGGTTAAATCATATAAGTTCCTTCTTGGCTTGTGACTACAGATAAAGCTTTTTGATTTAGACAGATCTGTTTCCTGATGGCCTCATTCACTGAGATTCCTTTTCTATTCCCGTACTCTAACGTTTAAAAACTATTAGGATTCTGTATTTGTGAAACTCAATTAGGCAGGCTACTTTTTCCTGTCTTCATCTCATTCTACTTAGGATAGGAGATAGCTTTAAAATGTTTTTTACTTAAAAAAATTTTTTTTGTGGCTAAATAGGTGTATATGTTCATGGGGTACATAAGATGTTTCGATACACTCATAAAATGTGTAATAATCTCATCATTTTGAATGGGGTGTCCATCCTCTCAAGCATTTATCCTTTGTGTTACAAACAATCCAATTATACTCTTTTAGTTATTTTTAAATATATAATTATTATTGACTATAGTCACTGTTGTGCTGTCAAATAGTAGGTCTTATTCATTTTTTCTAACTCATTTTTTGTACCAGTTAGCCATCTCCCATCCCTACTACTCTTTCTAGCCTCTGGTCACCATCTTTTTACTCTCTATGTCCATGAATTCAATTGTTTTAATTTTTAGAACCCACAAATAAGTGAGAAAGTGCAATGTTTGTCCTTCTATGCCTGGCTTATTTTACCTAATATAATGATCTCAAGTTCCATCCATGTTGCAAATGACTGAATCTCATTCTTTTTTTATGGCTGAATAGTACTCCATTGTGAATGTGTACCACAGTTTCTTTATCTAGTCATCTGTTGATGTACACTTAGGTTGCTTCCAAAT